AAAAGTTCGTACCCGCATAAAAAATAAAAATGGGGGGATCATACCCTATTCTTCTTACACCTTAGGAGAGCTTTCTGCTGAAATTTGCGCAGAAGGGCTTTCTCTATGTACAGATTTAAAACTCAAAAAACAATTAGATAAACATAAAATGACAGGGAAAAAAGAATTAGGAGACTTTTGCGAGCAATTTGGATACAGTATTAATTCTTCCCCAAACAAAATTTATAAGAAAAGAAAAATATATAAAACTCCCAAATTAGAACAAAAGAATAAAGGGAAAAGAACTCAAAAAGAAAAATTTATAAAGAAATTCTCCCCAAAAAATAAAAGGATAAAAAGAAAATTACCAGTTTGTTATAAATGCGGTAAAATAGGACACTATAAAAATAACTGTAAAGTTAAAAAACAACTAAACTCTGTCATATTAGATGAAGAATTAAAAAAACAAATATATAATATTCTTAAGATAAGAGAGGACTCGTTTGAGTCATCCTCAATAGACGATACTGAGTTTATAGCTCAAATAAATAGTGATGAAGACTAATATGGAGTAGTTCAGAAAATAGTTCAGATGACAGTACTAGTACTGATGAACGCATGAAAGAATGCTTTTGCAATACCCTTACTAATGAAGAAAATTTAATATTAGATTTAATAGATAAAATATCTGATCATGATGAAAAACGAGAAGTAATATCTCAATACATAAAAATAGCTAAGTCCAAAACTAAGCCTGCTCCTTTAATAAAAACACCAGAAGATTATAGCTTTTCAGAAATAGTTAAGAGAATAAATAAAAAAGGAAACTGGTCAGAGAGAACCTGAATCCTCTGAAAAAACAGAAAATATTACTTTAAGTCTTATAAATATGGTCATTACGCAAAAATGGTTTACATTAGTAAAAGTTATTGTAAACAATGACTACAATTTTCAGTCTTTAGCTTTAATAGATTCAGGCGCAGATTTAAACTGTTTCAATGAAGGATTAGTTCCTAGTAAATATTTTGATAAAACCACTCAAATACTTAATACAGCTGATGGCAGTAGACTTAATTGTCTAAAGCCGCTGTTTGTAACAATGGACATTGTTTTTCAACACTTTTTATTATGGTTAAAGGATTAAGTTAATCACTAATTTTAAGAACACCATTTTTGAGTCTACTTTATCCTTTAATAATAGACAATACTGGAATTGAATCAACTATAGCTGGACAAAAAGTTAAGTTTGAATTTATTGATAAACCAAAAATAAAAGCAATTAATAATATGAAAGAAAAAATAGAAAATAAAGAAAATTTTTTATGTTCTTTAAAAATAGAAGTTAGATATAAACTAATAGAAGAACATTTAATGCTTCCTGAAAATAAACAAAAAATTGAAGATTTTCGAAGCCAGATAGAAAAAGAAGTTTGTAATGATTTGCTTAATGCTTTTTGGGAAAGGAAAAGGCATATGGTCAGCGTACAATATGAAGACAGATTTGATGAAAGCAAAATATCTACTAAGGCCTATATAAATGAATATCAAACTTCTCGAAATCTATAAGAAAGAAATAGATGACCTATTGAATAAAGGATTAATTAGAAAAATTGCTTCTCCATGGAGCTGCGCTGCATTCTATGTAAATAACGTAGCAGAAAAGGAACGAGGAGTTCCAAGACTTGTAATAAATTATAAGCCTTTAAATACAGTCCTTAAATGGATAATATATCCTATACCAAATAAAAAAGACCTACTAGACAGATTTGTGAATGCATGTTTTTTTTCTAAGTTCGATTTAAAATTTGGATATTGGCAAATCTAGATAAATGAAAAAGATAAATATTTAACAGCTTTTAATGTGCCTTTTGGCCAATATGAATGGAATGTTGTGCCATTTGGACTTAAAAATGCCCCATCAGAATTCCAAAAAATAATGAATGAGGTTTTTAACCCATATATTAAATTCATGCTTGTCTATATTGATGATGTGTTAATCTTTTCAGAAGATATGGAACAGCATTTCAAGCACCTCAATACTTTCCTAAATGCCATCAAGAATGCAGGTTTGGTAGTATCTGCTAGAAAAATAAATTTATGCCAAACCAAAATTAGATTTCTAGGCCATAATATTTATCAAGGATCTATAGCTCTAATCGATAGAGCGATTCAATTCACTGATAAATTTCCTAATGTAATTCTTAATAAAACTGAATTACAAAGATTTTTAGGATGTTTAAACTATATTGCCGATTTCTATAAAGAATTAGCACTTGATGCTAAACCTTTGTATGACAGATTACGAAAAAATCCACCTAAGTGGACACAGGAACATACATTGGCAGTCCAAAAACTGAAAAGTAAAGCAAAAGAATTACCTTGCTTGGCTTTATTAGATCCAAATGCCTTCCAAATAATTGAATTCAATGCTTCCGAACTTGGGTTAGGAGGAATCTTAAAACAAAAAATCAATAATCAGGAACAATTAGTTCGTTTTACCTCTAAGGCTTGGAAGAACACTCAGCAAAACTATTCAACAGTCAAAAAAGAAATCCTTGCAATAGTTCATTGCGTAACAAAGTTTCAAAGTGATATTCTTAATACAGCTTTCTTAATTCGAACCGATTGTAAAGTTCGTGATGTTCTTCTTAAAGATGTTCAAAACCTTGTCTCCAAACAAATCTTTGCCCGCTGGCAAGCTATTCTCTCTTCTTTCGATTTTACATTGATATATATATATATATATATATATATATATATATATATATATACTATACTATACGTACTATAGTAGGTAGTAGTAGTATAGTAATAAATAATACGTACTTTACTAGTTTAGTTAGGTAGTGTA